ACCCCGGCTTATCATGTAGCGGTAGCTTTCGGAAAGGTGGAAAACATATATTTAATACTTGCGCCGGGTATTTAATGTTCGGCTCCGCCCGAACTTAGACTTTCTTACTTGTTTTTAATTGTGTTTCTAGCAGTAAACGGAAACTCCCAATTTGAATAGCAATATCTCCAAACAAGAGTTTTCCCAGCTATAAGCTATATACCAGATGAAAGCTAAGGTTTTGGGCTAGACCTGTGGAAACTTAGAATAAAATCGACTGACCAGTTTTTGAGAAAATGCCCGAAATCTCTATTTTCAGCAGCCCGATTTTTAGTTTTCATGCGATACAGTTATGGCGTATTTATATTTTATAAACACAAAAGATAGCGTTATATAGCTTGTTTGAAGACCATTCTACTGATATCCACATCAATGACATTGACTGAGTAGTGCGGCCTCAGTGGTAGTTTAAAAAATTGCCTTTTTTCGATTTTCAGGCAGCAGCCACGCCCACACAGGTATACGAATCAAAACATCCTGGAACAAAACCTTCTTAGTTTTTTGTGTACTTTAATTTCAGAAAGTTTGAAAAAATTAAATGATGGTACGTACAGACGCCACATACATACCAAAGCATCTCGTAGTGGAGACACGAACCAAAACACATTTACCTCTATATCTTTCCAACTAGTGGCCGGAGCTTAATATATAAGGTATCGTTTGAAAGGTATGGAAATATGTTGGGTGTGCCCACATGCCCCCTTAAACCGGCAAAAGCAAAAAAACGTTTTTTGTTTCGCAACACTTTAGCCTAATTTTTAAGAATCCGGTAAATCATTTACGAAGCTTGAATATATTTTCTGGACACACTCTGCAAGACCTTTCCAACGATATATCAAACATGTCGATTGGACGTCTGGATAAAAACTTCCAAATCTCGTGTATATATAAGCGAGTCATTTCAGCATGCTACTGTGGCTGCTTTCGTCACTCGCGCGCACTGCCGTGTGCTGTGATGTTACTGATATTGCTGAACGAAGTATAGCGTTGAAACAAAATTATAATCGAACTTTAACGAAAGACGAAGAACAAAAGCAAATTCTTTTGCAAGCAATACAATGACAAACAAAAAAATTAATAAATATCTAATCAAAACTTGCTAATATGTGGCGGTCTTAAATTTAAACAACGCAGTGATCTATTAACTTGTTTGACTTGTGTTTACAGAAACTTCGAATTGTTAATTTGTTCGTTAGTTAAATATGTGTTAAAATAAATATAAACAAAATTTTTGTGGTGGGCTGAAACAGATTTTAAAATGAAATAAATTCTTTTTATACTTCTATACTAAAGGAAGGTTTGTTCTATGGTAACTAATTAACATTTTTTATTGAACTATTTTTCAATATGTGGCTTTCCTCGTTTAGGCATTAAAGTTTTAAAGCTATTTAAGTCCTCTTTCATTTGATACCAAACTTGTTTAATTTGGATAAGCGATTTGTTTATTATCCGGAAAGGATTTTTATTTCGGAATAATATTCGCAACAACCCTGCTCTGTAAAAATGTTAAAATCTTTGCAAATGTACAAATCGTGTGATCCCTGCTTTACTGTCGTCTTATCTTTGCGAAATCTTGTATAATATCAAACATACATCTACATTTGTGAAAGTATGTATGTATGTATGTATGTGCCAGGTTGCAGTCTAAAAGACAGAATCGAACAAAATTTTGACAGAGTATTGCCATGACACCTGGCCCTATAACAGGGTGAAAAAATTGGGATCCGACAAGGGGCGTGGCACCTCCCATAGGCGTGAAATTTTTAATCAGCCATAACTTCCAGACCATAAGTCACACGAACTTGAAATTTGGTATGTAGACATATCAATAGTAGCTGCTTGTAGAAGGGTATATATAAACGAGTTTGCAAAAGGGGGCGTGGCACATCCCATAAGCGTGAAATTTTTAATCAGCCATAACTTCCAGACCATAAGTCACACGAACTTGAAATTTGGTATGTAGACATATCAATAGTAGCTGCTTGTAGAAGGGTATATATAAACGAGTTTGCAAAAGGGGGCGTGGCACATCCCATAAGCGTGAAATTTTTAATCAGCCATAACTTCCAGACCATAAGTCACACGAACTTGAAATTTGGTATGTAGACATATCAATAGTAGCTGCTTGTAGAAGGGTATATATAAACGAGTTTGCAAAAGGGGGCGTGGCACATCCCATAAGCGTGAAATTTTTAATCTGCTATATCTTCGGAACCATAAGTCCCACGAACTTGAAATTTGATATGCAGACATGTCAATGGTAGATGCTTATAAGAGGCTATATATAAAGAAGTTATTAAAAGGGGGCATGGTACATCCCATAGGCGTGGAATTTTTTATCAGCTATATCTTCGGAACCATAAGTCCCACGAACTTGAAATTTGATATGCAGACATGTCAATGGTAGATGCTTATAAGAGGCTATATATAAAGAAGTTATTAAAAGGGGGCATGGTACATCCCATAGGCGTGGAATTTTTTATCAGCTATAACTTCGTAACCACAAGTCCCACGAACTTGAAATTTGGTATGCAGACATCTCAATGATAGGTGCTTTTACGAGGGCATATACATATAAACGAGTTTGTTAAAGGGGGGCATGGCACATCCCATAGGCGTTGAATTTTTAATCAGCTGTAACTCCGGAACAATAAGTCACACCAACTTGTAATTCGGTAAGCAAACATATCAATGGTAGGTGCTTATATGAGTGTATATATAAATGAGTTTGTGAAAGGGGGCGTGGCACACGAACTTGAAATTTGGTACGCAGACATATCAATGGTAGGTGCTTATACGAGGGTATATTCATACCGGTTTTAAAACAGATACAGATATAGTAAGAGCTTATTCTCGAGTGATACTTCAGATTTTGCGCGCTTTAAGGGATTTGCCCAAAATCAACAACAACAATGTAAGTGGAGTTGATGGAACTTCATGTCATATTATGTCATATATTGACTTTTCAATTTGTGCAATCTATACATATAATAGAACTGTAACAGGCCGCTGTCTGTACATTATGGATTTAAAAAAAAAAATTAATATGGGGGGCCTTTATTAGAGCAACAGAAGCTAAATCAACAATTTTTAGAATTTTTGTCTGTATGTTTGTAAACGCATCACTCGAAAACTAATGCATGGAATTGAATGCAGTTTTCACAGATGCATTACTAGAGGTCTAACTTATAATATGGGAAAATAATAATTAGAGAGTTGCCACCTGTTTGAAAATTGCAAGTTATAAGATTATAGATTACATTTCCAGGATTACCTACCAACGCCCTTATTCATAAAAAGTAAAGTATATCAAAGATTTTTTCGTTAATCTCACTTCATAAAAAATAAAGTGTGTTTCTTATATGGAAAATTTTTTCATAAACTTTTAAGGCCCCTTGAAGCACGCCGGGTATTTGCTAGTGAATAATGAAATTGTACATTATAGATTTTAAAGAAAAATTAATATGGGGGCTCTTTATTAGAGAAACAGAAGCCAAAGCAACAATTTTTATAATTTTTTCTGTCTGTCTATTTGTATGTATGTTTGTACGCCCCTTACTCAAAAACTAATACATGGAATTGAATTAAGTTTTCACCGATGTATTTCTTGAGGTATAACTTAAAATATAGAAAGAAAAAATTAGAGAGTTACCACCTCTTTTAAATTCGCAGTTTAAGTAAATTGACAAGATAGAGTAAATATTGCAATTTAAAAATTTTAATTTAATTTATGAGAAATTGAAATTAGCAAATAAATATTTATGGGAGGGTTGCCACCGGTTTGAAAAATTCAATTCAATTAAATAGATAAAATAAATGAAATATTACAATACGGGTAACAAACAGAACAACAATTCTTTCAAGGCGCAGTGAAGCAAGCCGGGTATTTGGTAGTGTAGAATAAAAATTTCGGTATCAAATGAAAGAGAATGTTATGTAGAATTGAAGAGGACAGATTTTTTTTCATGAACTAGGACCCTACTTCATGAACATATTGATGTTTTCGTGTTTTGAAATTCTTTGTTTTTTGTAGTACGATGTTATAAAGCTATTTTACATTTTTACAACACAAAAGTTTAAATCAGTTCCGCTTTAAAATTAACACAGTTTGTATGTTAAACATCGGCCAATACAGTGACATATTAACAAGTCCTGGCAGTTAATTTGTATTTAAATTAATTTAAATGGGTTTTTTTTATAAAAATATAGTTCATTTTATAGCAAAAATAACTTAATCATAATCAAATTGAACTGGCTACAAAGCTGCATACTTAAAAAGTTTGTATGAAAAAGTTCAAAATTAAAAAAAAAAAACTTGCGAATTCTTTTTTTGTATTTTTGCGAAAGCTGAAATTTGCATTTACATACATGCTCTTGTGGTCAGCTCTTTAAGTTAAGTGATATTTTCACTAGTTTTGTCTATTTTTCTTTTTTTTATGTTTATAATTTTTGTATAAAAATCTAGCACATTACATAACCAGCAACACATAAATCCATATTTAAAACTTCAATTTACAAAAAACTCTATGTTATTAAATTTTCTAAACGATCGTATTTCAATTCTATTTCTTTACATTTCCTTTAACGCAATTCGTCTCCAAATGAAATCAACCTACAGCCACTGGACCGTGATCAACCGCACGGGAGGCCGCAATGGCGATTCACCGTCTTTGCTCAGGATGAGGGTGGAGAGGGATTGGTAGGCTATGCCGATATCCAAGTTAATCTGAAGGATATCAATGACAATGCGCCACAATTCCCACAAGGCATTTATTTTGGCAACACAACAGAAAATGGCACGGCTGGCTCGTCGGTGATGACAATGACCGCCGTTGATTACGATGATCCCAACGAGGGCGCCAACGCCAAACTCATTTACTCCATAGAAAAGAATGTGATCGAAGAAGAGACAGGTGCGGCGATATTCGAAATCGAACCGGAAACGGGTCTTGTAAAGACTGCTGTATGTTGCTTGGACCGCGAACGTACACCCGACTACTCCATACAGGTGGTTGCAATGGATGGTGGCGGGCTGAAAGGTAAGTGAAAGAGACCAAATCTTCCAAGTGTACCAACATTTTTCGACTGTAGAGCTTTTGTTGTGGAATAAACTTTCACAATGGTAAACAAAAAATACAACGTTGACAATATTTCGAAATTCGAGTGATTTTCTAAAATATTGTTTTTAACTTTTTAGTAATACAAATCCTCCGTATTTTTTAACGAGTTAAAAATTATGACGTTTTCCTTAATTTTTTATCTTATTGCGACATAAAAAATGACTTACTTTTGTATGTATTTCGTATGGAAAACGTGTGTCATGCTGTGCAAGCGCGCTGGGCTCGCTCTCAGTCCAGACTTTGGCCGTTCGTACACCATGATTCAATAATTTACAGGTTGTAGCAATCGTACAAAAACAATATTTACCGATGATATGAACTCGTTGTGTCAACAACAGCTTCTTTATGTGCTCATATTCGTATGTATATGTATACCATGCATACTAGGACTTCAGGGTATTCTGAATGGTCTCAGAATTTTTGTATGAATTTTTTAAGAAATCTTACAGAAAGGGCCCCGCAGAACTTGTATGGGAAATGGCTTTCGGCTAATTTCCTTGAAATTTTGCGGGATGGTAGCCCTTAACACGTAGGGACAATACCTACATACATATATAAATATAAACAGCTCTATATATGAGTGTATACAAATATATAACCTTACATCTCTGATAAAAACATCACTCCCGTATTTACGCTATACAGCGTATGAGTAAAAAAGTTCGACTTTGACAGGCTGTCACTCGTAAACTAAGAGCCTTGGAGCACTCGTAAACTAAGAGCCTTGGAGCTTTCGGCCTATGGAGAGTTTTGTTCTACATACGTGTTAAGGACTATCATCCTGCAAAATTTCAAGGAAATTAGACGAAAGCGGGCAAATTCTGCGGGGTCCTTTCTTTTCTAGTTGTTGTCAACAGCTTCATAAGTTTATCTTTAAAGATTTGTAAAAAAATCGTAAAAAAACTTCCGATACTCTTAAATATTTCGGGAGCATTTGTTTGCAGGGTCTATACTTATGTACGTGTATGTGTATTAGAGGTTTACGCCGATAGATATTGCGGCGGTGGCGTCGTCAATCTTAGAAATAATCGGCGGCGGCAGCGACGCCGGCGTCTCAAATAGCGCCGGCGCATTTGGCCATTAGCCACATACCAAAGAACATAGGTGTTTAACTCAGGGCAGGACCTGGATGAATGTATTTGCATAAAAACTTATTAAAGCAAAAATGTTTTGGGTAGGCGTCGAGGCCAATGATAACCATCAGTTACCACCTCTGCATGGTTGTAAGTCATGCAGAGTCCGTACGGCTTGTAGCGCTGTGGCTTTGCCGCTTAAACTCTAGAAGAATTTTTGGGGGGTGTGCGTCAAGCGGAAGTGTTGAGCACCGGAAGGGATAAAACGATAACATCGAAGTATCGATACCTGTACTTGGAAGTAGCATCGAATGAAAGTATCGATACCTACTAAGTATCGGGCTGAAAGTATCGATACCTACTTATATCGATATTTGTACATAAATATATAAGAATTGTTTAAAAAAAACGCTATCACATATCTATGAGTTTTTGTCAAAATAACTTATGTGACGATCATTTTTGATTTTAGAAGAATGGTACTTAATCTTTTTAAGAAAAACTTTAAGTTTCAAAACATGTTTTATTAGGATGGCCCCCAAAAAAAAACAAGAAAAAGGTGCCAAGTTCGATAAGTTGTTTTGTAAAATCCCCACAGAATTTTGTTAACAGAATTCTTCTTTTTTATGTACGTATTTTATTTGTTATACATAATTATTTATTTTGTACAAAGAGAATAACTATAATTTATTTCATCCAAATTAACTAATTAATGAAAGTTATCTGTATTATAACACTGGTCAACAGCATTTTTGCAGAGTAACAATGGTATATTTCTGAAAGAAGTGATAATCTTGCTAATTTTTGGAGGACAATGTTATAATGTAGTGCAGGCATTCATATGGCTAGCTTAGAGTGAAAAGTTGCTAAGTTGCTGCCTATAGCCAAATATGAGTTTTCACAAAAAGTGGACTTAGATTAGATGATAATGGGTCTTTCTCTGTAGGACTTTATTTTCTTTGGCAACTAAATTCCTAAAATTTTTAACTATTCACAATAATAATAATAATTATTATTATTATTTATTTATTACAGCTCTCTTGAGCCTAATTCATTACAATATATGTAGTCTTAACCTAGTTATTTAATATTACATTGCTTAAGCCTAATAAAATCATTTGGAAGGGCATTCATACATGGCAATTACAAGTTGAAATTACGGAAAAATAGTAAACGGAAAACAGATATAAAGTAATACATTACATTATATTGGGATAGATTTACAAAATTCAAACAACTTTCTTTTAAACTCATTGATGTTTTTACATTGCTTGACAGTATTTGGTAATTCATTATAACTTTTAAGACCCTTGTAATAAAGATTACATTTATCAGATTCGCTTTTTAACATGGGTAAATTGAAGTCATTTTTCTTACGTGTATCTTTATTGTGTACATTGCTGCCATACTTTAAGTTAATCTTTAGGTATTCTGGTAAATTATCTTCAATAATGTTTTTAACAAATTTCATCGTATAATAAAAGTGCTGTTGTTTCACACTTAGCCAACCAAGGGCTGATAACATGTCTCTAATGGGCGTGTCATATCGTTTTCGAAGAATGAATCTCATTGCTTGGTTCTGTTGTTTCTGCAATTTATAAATTTGGCTATCATTCATTATGAAGAAAATTGTCGGACAATAATTGAAGAGAGGTTTTATTATTGATCCACATACCATTATTTTATATTTCCTTTTCAGTAATTTGCAAGTACGCCGCATAAAGTACATTTTTTTTGCTATTTTGCTTACGGTATAGTCAATATGATCATTGAACTGTAGCTTCTCATCAATTTTTATACCCAAGTACGTAAAGCTCCGCACCCTTTCTATTTTTTGTTGGTTTATGTTTAAACTACGAAGTTCATGCATATCAATATTTCTTCTGGATATGACCATGTATTTGGTTTTACTTACATTTATTTTAAGTTTGTTTAAACATAGCCAATTATATATTTTATTTAAGTCATCTGGTAGTTTTGAAACAATATCAGTAATATGGTCACCACTTAACATGATTAATGTGTCATCAGCGAAAAGATTAATATCACAATATTTAATACCATTGGCAATATCATTTATGTATATATTAAATAATATAGGTGCTAGCACTGAGCCTTGAGGTAGACCAACCACTATACTTCTTTTGTCAGATACCGACGATCCAATCTGTGTTCTCTGGTAACGANTATAGGTGCTAGCACTGAGCCTTGAGGTAGACCAACCACTATACTTCTTTTGTCAGATACTGACGATCCAATCTGTGTTCTCTGGTAACGATTTGTAATAAGACTTTGAAACCATTTTAGCTCAACGCCCTCTATCCGTATATTACTCAATTTATTTAGAAGTAACTCTTGATCGATGGTCTCAAATGCGCGCTTTAAGTCTAAGAAGACGGCAACTATGTATTTATTTCTGCTCAATTCTTCTTTCCAGCGAGCTAATACTAAGTTTAGTGCAGTTTCACACGAGTGCCTTTTCCTAAAACCAGACTGTTGTGGCATTAATATTTTATTAGTTTCTAAATATTCTATTAGTTGTTTTTTAACTACCGTTTCAAGAATTTTTTCATCACTAGGCAACGAATTAATTGGTCTCATCTCGTCGGCTCTGATTGTGTTCTTGACTTTCTCAATTGGCACAACAATAGATGTTTTCCAGTGATCAGGAACAACACCATATTTTAGGCTTTCATTAATTAACTGCGTGTAAAAGTACCCTGTATATGTTATAGAGTCTTTTATGACTCCCTCAGATAATAGTTTTTTTCCTCCAATTTTATTTTTAAAACCACTGACAATTTCAAGCACTTCATCGGTTTCGATTTCTATAAATTTAAAGTTATGTGTGCAATTTGGAGTCGTAAAGGATTCTTTTTTACCAGGTTCTATATTTGAGGTAATTTCAATAATGCCGTCAATAAAGTAGTTATTTAGTGATTGTGCAATCTCATTTTCCGTTGTGTACAAGTTGTTGTGAATTAACACTTTATTAATGGCGTTTATTTCCTTTGACATACTTATGCAATTTTTTAGATGCTTCCACATTGATTTGCTATCTCCAATATTAACTGTTATTTTATGCTCCAAGTATTTAACCTTTTTAACCTTTACCATCCTCTTGTATCTACGTTTGATTGTATTATAGTCACTCCAGGCCCCTGTTTCTAATGCTATACTGTAAAGATTATACTTTTGTTTATTAAGGTTTGCTAATTCAGCATCATACCACTTGTTCATGAGCTTAAGCCTTATTTCTTTAGTGTATGTTAGAATGCCCATTGAATGCGAAAAGACATTAGTTAAAAATTTCGATTTATCATCGATGCTTAATTTCGAAAAATCCCTGTAATTGTATTGCCTCAGTTGGTGAAGAAGATTATCACTTGTGTAATTTTCCCAAGATATAATAAATTTGTTTGCTCTCATTTTATATATTTTCTCCAACTCGATCTTGACATAAATTGTCTCATGATCGGAGATCCGATGCATATCCATTCTTTGACACGAAATGTTTTTGCTATTGGTAAATAATAAATCAATCATGGTTTCGACCTCTCCCGATTTCCTAGTATAAAAATTAATTTTCTGAACCATTGAGAAGGACTGAAAAAACTTTAACAATCTTTTACTGTACGTTGTAGCTTTGTGTAGATTTATATTGAAGTCTCCAATAAATACAGTATTATCATCTAGGCAAGTATTGTTTAAAATTTCACTGAGGTAGCTGATAAAGTCAGCATCGCTAGAATTTGGCGAGTGATATATTACCCCTATTTGGTATTTCGGGGTAACATTTCCAATTTTTAAAAGAAGACACCAAATATTTTTATCCCACGAGTAATT